TACATGCTTTCGAACTGCTAGGTTGGTGAGGAGCTCCCACGCAATGGGAGCTCACTCCGTTGCGTGGGTTCGATCTTACAACTGCTGGTCCTCTGACCCTGCAGCACAGGCTTCTGCAGTTTAGCCCACAGCGCCACCACATCCCTGAGCATACATATACACCCATGTTATTCTCTCTACACACACTTTAAGAGCCTCGTGGTGCAGTGGTTAAACCGCTGTACTGCAGCCAAAACTGTGCTCACGACCTACATGCTTTCGAACTGCTAGGTTGGTGAGGAGCTGGGACAAAGCAATGGCAGCTCACTCCGTTGCGTGGGTTCGATCTTACAACTGCTGGTCCTCTGACCCTGCAGCACAGGCTTCTGCGGTTTAGCCCACAGCGCCACCACGTCCCTGAGCATACATGTACACCCATGTTATTCTCACTATACACACTTTAACTATGCCTGTATACAAGCAGTGCCTTTTGTTTTGGAGTGTTCATTCCAGTATCATCTTTTGCTGGATTCCAACAGTTTTCTCCAATCCTGCTGTGTTTTAAGTTGAGAGAAAAAAAGGGTGAAAATGGGGAAAGCATCTTTTGGACTTTGATGTCTGCTGTTTCTAACAAGTGTTATGGTGAGGGTGCTAGCGTTGCCTTGGCAGATTTGTAACTATGGAGAACCTGTATGCTGGATAATTTAAAGAGGGTTCCATGGGTTGCTAAGGTTTTTTATTCTTTGGCCCTGCAGCAAAGAAACAGCCGGCGAATGAAGAGGAGAAGGGCCAAGCCAAGAAGAAGGTCAAGGAGTTGCGAGTGCTGGATTCGAAGAATGCACAAAACCTTTGTAAGTGTGATTTATTTGGAGAATTTGGCTGCACTACCAAGAGAACGGCAGAGTGTTCCTGAATGGCCTCAGGTGTATTAAGTAGATTTCTTAGACCCAAGGATTTGAAAGCCCAAAGATTTACCTGTGCTTCTCTTTGAATTTGGCAGCAATTTTTTTGGGCTCCTTCCGCATGCCTTATGAAGAAATAAAAAATGCCATCCTGGAGGTGAATGAAGCTGTGTTGACTGAGTCCATGGTACAGGTGGGCAAAGCTTGAATATTCTCCATTATTTTCTTTCCTTCTTGGATGTGGAAAGTGGATGGGAGGGAGCCATTTTCTGAAAGAACTACCTCCATTCTACATCAAGTAAAAGCTATCCTGTAGGACAGCAGGCACCAGCTTATCTTCTGGGCACTATTCCCACCCATCTCCAACTTTGACGCTGAACAAGCAGCTGCATTTTTCTTTCACTTCTCTTTCAGAACCTCATTAAATTAATGCCAGAACCAGACAAATTGAAGATGATAGCAGAATTGAAGGGAGAATATAGTGAACTAGCTGAGCCTGAGCAGTTTGGAGTTGTGGTAAGTGACCTGCCCTCTGCATCTGAAGAGGGAGAGAGGAGTTGCCTCTCTTGCTGCAAGGCAGCAGCTGAATTTCTATGTACCCATGTATTATGGGGGGTTTTTTGTGTTTTTTTTTTAATCAGACCTTGGCTTCTCCTTCCACTGTTTTGCTGTCTCTCTCTCTTTACTTTTACTTTGTGCACTGCCATCCATAGTGTATACTTTCTGAAAAGAGGATCCTGGAGCTAAAAAAAACAATGACTGAAATCCTGTTACACAGTTTGTCTTAATGGCATAAGTGTTGGAAGCAAATTGCTGTAAGTTAAGAAATCTCTGTAGACATTATGTATTGCATACTGATCCGTGCAAGTTGCCGTGAAAGAGATAATGCCCATGGAGATTTCTTAACCTACAGCAGTTTGATCCCGTTTACATAACTGCACAACACGATTTCAGCCAATGTATGATGATGATGGATTATGCAATTGCAATTAGAGATAGGCATGAACCTCAGTTTGGAGGTTCGTGTTGATTTGTACATATGGCACCACAGGTGCTGTGCACTCCCTTTCCCTGCCTCCCCAGCCATTGATCCACTCACCATTCAGAGTGCTCTTCTTCAGCTGTTTGACCAGTCCCCGGCAGTAGCACAGGTTTGCCTGTCTTCCTTCTTTGTCGGAGTGGGCGATCAGCCAAGGAGGCAGGGCAGGGAAGCCTGTGCTCCTGCCAGAGACTGGTCGAACAGCTGAGGAGGAGAGGAGTGTGCACTGGCTGGTGAGTGGGGGATCAAGCTAAGGAGGCGGGGGAAGGCAACGTTGGGTACCTGTGGTTCTGTGCATATGAACCAGCACAAACCTTCAAACCAAAGTTCATGCCCATCTCTAATTATGATGATGGCCATCTGTGTGTTCTGTGTCATCTGGCTTTTGGGAACTGGAAAAAATTTAGGCACTGACAGATGCCTTGTGTCTAATAATTTTCCACACATTCATCCCAAAACTGAGACTTCCTGTTATTTTCTACTAGTGTTTTTGTACCTCCAGGCCTTTGGAACCTTATACAGGAGCAGAGGAGAATTTTGACAGATGGAGGCATGTGCTAGGAAGCATTGTTCTCTCTGTAGACCTACTTAAAAACATGGTGGAAAACTAAGATAAGCTCTCAGGCTCAGGAAACTAACAGTGGAGCCCTTGCCTTGAAAGAGGATTTGAAGGTGTGTCACTAATGTGCAAGCGTGATGGTGAGAATTCCAGCTGCAAGCAAGCAACCTCTGTCCACTCCCCTATATGTTTTAATTGAGTCTTGAACAAAAGCCAGCTTAAGATATAGGTTGTACAGAAACTTCCTCTGATAAAACATACCTGTGACATTTCAGTCTCTAGAGCTGAGCACCATAAAGGTCATGGATCAAAGTGAAACAAGTAAGTTCTTAATCATACTTCCACTATTGTAATTACTTATTCAACATAATGTTTGCAAGTTCATTCATTTCAGTCTTATTGAGCAGAAGCTGTAGTGCTTCCCAAAGCAGATCCTCAGAGCAGTATGCTGACTACTTGATTCTTTCCTCTCCCACTCCCTGTGCTAATTTTTTTTTTTTGCTGTTGCGACATGGAAAAACAGAGTTTCTCTTCTTTTCCTTCTCCTTCAGACCACCTGGGTTCCTTCTTGTTGTCCTTCTCCTCCTCCTCCCTTTGTGTGTGACCGTGTTATTCTATCCCCTTTCCTTCTCAGATTAGTTCAGTTCCCCGTCTGATGTCCCGCCTTAGTGCCATCCTCTTCAAGCTACAGTTTAATGAGCAGGTGGAAAACATCAAGCCAGAGATCGTTGCTGTGACTGCAGCCTGTGAGGAGGTCCGCAAGAGTGAGAGCTTTTCCAACCTACTCTCCATCATCCTCCTGGTGGGCAATTACATGAATTCTGGCTCCATGAACGCTGGTGCCTTTGGATTCAATATCAGTTTCCTCTGCAAGGTGAGTCTTGCCAGGCAGAGTCACATCTTTTTATCCTGTGCTGACTCTACCAGCCACTGGTGTATTTGAGGAGCCTGGGGTCAGGGGAGAGGCCAGAACTGATTGTGTTGAGCAAGGCTCACCGTAGCCACTCTCTCCATATTTGTAGCTCCGAGACACAAAGTCAGCTGACCAGAAGATGACTTTGCTGCACTTCTTGGCTGAAACGTGTGAGCTGCAGTATCCTGAAGTGCTGACGTTTCCTGATGAACTCATCCATGTAGAGAAGGCTTGCCAAGGTATTTTTGGGAAGGTTTCCTAAGGCTGCAACAATGTTTTCAGGCAAATATTTTAAGTGCAAAAGAAAAAAGAAAAAAAGACAGATTCTCTGGGAGGGATGTAGATGAGAATATTTCATGAAAGGCCCTGTGAAGGTTATCTTTGTGTGCACTTAACTGTTCCCTGAGCAACCATTTCAGCCTTTTTTCCCCCTTACACCACAATCCCAGCTAATCAGACATCAGGATAAATATAATGACATCACAGTGTATAAGCCAGTCATCTTGGGCATTAGGATCACATCACTGTGAACTGAAGTCAACGTGGATTGAAGTCAGCACTGCTTGTGTCAGTTTAGGATATAAGATACAAGATGCTGTGATTGGGATTGTGTGTGTTTGGGAGTGAGAAGGCCAAGTTTCAACACTCATTAGTCCACTCAAACAAGGTAGATGCTTCCCTACCTGTGGCTCCACCTATTCTGCCATAGTATTGGTAAAATGAGGAGCATTTCATCTTTTTAGTAGCCTCATCAATGCTAAACATCACGAGTCCTTCTCATCACCTTAAATAGGACTGTGAAGCTGAGAACAGGAGAGGCGTAATCTTCAATATGTATCATTTTAAGGGAAAAGAGATTAATGGCTTAGAATTTTTTTTGTTTTGTTTTGGCAGATGACTCTTTTCTGTTTAAATCAGTAAGAACAAGACATTTTGCATTTCTCTGCAAAATTGAACAACTTGGACGGCTACTTTCTTTGTGTGGATGACTGGAAATGAGGGGAAATGAAAGGAGAGAGAGAGAGCACTTTCTGAGCAGAATGGCAGGAGAACGTTCTCATTCAGTTCTGTTGTCCTTCCTTTCTAAGTCCAGCTCTGGTGCTTTTCTTGTATGAAAGACTGGCTGTTTATATTGAACCATTGCCCGTCAAGGAAGGAAGGAAGGACAGAGAAGAAAACATTAGAACACTGGCCACAGATGTTTAGCTCAGTGACTAGGCATTGGAATTTACAATAGAGAGCTATCCTCCTGGCCCATATCTTTATGATAAACAAAACATGCACTCTTCCTGCAATTGCTCCTGCACTATCTTTTCATCACCTCTCAAGTTTTCCTCTGACCACCTGGTGATCAAAGTGCTAAAGATCAACCCAAAGAATGGGCTACTATGTTCACATGTCTTCGGTAGACATTAGCTGTATAGGCTTTATAGCTAAAGCATAGTGTCTGATCATACAAAGCAGGAAGTCCCTAGTTTAAATCTCATTTCAGTTATGAAGTTACTAGCACAAATCTCATTCATATATTTTTAAATCTCTTGAGAAAGTTAAGATTGGAAAAGTATAAATTCTAAGAAACAGTATAAATAATGTAAAATTTTGGCCACTTATATATATTAAAGGTTTATAAATGTTATTTACCTAGAAAGATTCATAAGCATTTAGTTAGGCATCCTTCAGTCTTGAAAGACTGTGGTAATGTGCTCTGTATGGAGGACTTGGAACAGCGTCTAGTGTGACTAAGAAGGCCAATTCAAGAGTGACAATCCCTTCCATACTGA